CCGGTCATTTTTCCCGTATTTTGTCATCGAAAAATTAGACGAATTATTGTTCAAAATCCATGAAAATCTGCCAATTTTACCAAAATTTTTTGAAGACTTTCATCGAAAAATGGAGTTTCAACAATATTCTAATAAATTGTGGAATTCCCGGATAATTTTTCACTTGAAAACGTACGGAAATTTTTTAATTTCAAGACACATTTTGAAGGGGGTTCTTCTTTACAGGGGGCCCTTCTATTGCGGGGGCCTTTCTATTACAGGGGGCCCTTTTATTTTTCCAAGCCTCTCCCGTAGGGCCCTTCTATTAGAGGGGCCTTTCTATTAAAGGGGCCCTTCTAATACAGGTTTTACGGTATTCTAGCTAGTAGTTGATTAAAGTTCCACTCAAAATCCTCGCCATGAAAACTTTGCCCATGTGAATTTATCAATCTTGTATGATAATGGAATTTTTAATCAAATTGGGTTCACATAGGTGGTCATTCTAGTCGAAATAAATTCGATGTTTCAGAAAGTTCATATGAGCAGCAGATTGAAAACTTATTAATAACACGGAACTTTATTTTTTAGTTAATTGTTGGGGAAGCTGTACGTTACCATAGAGTGGCATTCAATGGGTCATTTACAGTGCGTTCAATATTTTTAGGACCCCCGTCTATTTTCACGGTTCTGAGAAAACGGTGATATCAAAAATCTGTAAGCGCCATTCGTTTTTAAATTCAAAAATACCCCGGGAGCCAATTTTTGGTATTCATACCTCTTCTGGTATTAGTAAACGGCCCAAAACTCACTTTTTCAGCCGTTCAATATCTTTAGGACCACCTGAGATTTTTGACGGAATTTCACTTTTTGTGTCAGAATTCCAATCCAAAAGTAAGTCAATGCATTGACCGTAAAACCTGTATTAGAAGGGCCCCCTGTAATAGAAGGGCCCCCGCAATAGAAGGGCCCCCTGTAAAGAAGAACCCCCTTCAAAATGTGTCTTGAAATTAAAAAATTTCCGTACGTTTTCAGTGAAAAATTATCCGGGAATTCCACAATTTATTAGAATATTGTTGAAACTCCATTTTTCGATGAAAGTCTTCAAAAAATTTTGGTAAAATTGGCAGATTTTCATGGATTTTGAACAATAATTCGTCTAATTTTTCGATGACAAAATACGGGAAAAATGACCGGAAAAAGAGAAGGGCCCCCTCTAATTGAAGGGCCCCTGTAATAGAGGGGCCCTCCGGAGGTACCTTGGAAAAATAGAAGGGCCGGCCCTTCTAATACAGAATTTACGGTAATTATACTGTACCGACATACTTAAAATCGAATTTTATGTTTAAAAATGTTACTTATTCAAAGAGCTCATAAAAAAGAGCTGTGAGCAAGGCTGATATTCAATAGTTTAAGCACTACAATTTTCCAATTTATTCTGTTACAGATGAAAAAACCAGTTTGACAACTTCATTCTGCCTCTTGTCGAGCTCCCTAATCTGCACCCTCTACGTTGCTTTTTTTGACGTGTTTTTGACATATATCTTAAGAACGAGTGATTTTCGGACTATCCTCCAAGAGAGTTTTCTTCCCAAAATTCTGGATCGATTGATATAAAAATCTCAAAAATTTTGGAATTAGGGACGCCCTCTTTAAGCAACCGCCCGAGCAACACTGTGACAAGAAACGGTTGCTAATGTAAACGAATTTGTTCTCGATCCGTTCTTAATTTGTAAAATGTTTCGCTACCCTCAAAAAATTTCCCGTTTCATCAAATTGTAAACTTCTACTCAAATCTGTAAAACTAATCCTCATGGCACAACACCGACTCAGGTCACAACATCTATCAATTTCTCATCTTGAAATCCACGTCAAAGTCTGAAATAAAAAAAAAATCATCGTCATCAGAAGATTCTCAAGAGAACAGATATCATATCACATGGGTCTAGTCAAGAGGCAAAAGGAAATCAGAACAAATAGAAAAAAATAGGGAGACCAGAAGCGAAATTTTTTCGCCTGAATACTTGATTTTTTTCGCGATATTTTTGTGAGGAAGTTTTTAGATTTTAGTAGATTGATCATCTGACAAAAAACCGCATTAAATTGCCCCCTAGATATCAGAAATAGCCGCATTAAATTCCCCCTTAGACATCAAAAATATTTTAATTGATAAAATAACTTTGAGATTATGATGAATAATTTTTCAGTAAAAGATTTTTTGATATCTTCTGAAGGAACCGAGAAAATTGAACTCAAAGGGCATTAGAGCAAATACGGTATTCGCACACTCAAATTGGGAGTGCAAATAATTAAATAATTCATCCGCAAACTGACCAAGTTACAATTGATTTGATCCACTCTGAGCTGGGTTATAAGCTTTCAAAAATGCTTCTACTTATGAAAATCACAACGGCGTGCAAGAAACATTACTCATCTTAGGACAATCATACCAATCCCTAGACTTGAGGAATCGCTTTGAAAATTTCAGTAGATTTGCATGAAACGTAATATTATATTTCTACCAATTTTTGTAACAAAAAAAAGCAAAAGTTTGCAATATTTATTTCTCAATATAAACATAAACAGTATCATAATAATTATCTCTGTATGTTCCCGCATCGAGTAACTTCACTTTTGGAATAACCATCATATTCTTCTTCTTATTGTAATTGGTGGTTGGTCCGACCTTTTTCTTGGTCTGTAAACTTCCAGATTTTCCAACTAAAAAAAATTTTGTGTGTTACTTTTATATTCTCCCAAAATCCACACTTTGCTTTATTGTTTCCATTGCAAATTCTATAAACTTGATGTTGTTCAACTCCTTTTGCATTCTTCACAAATCTCTCAAGTTTCTTTGGGCTGTAATATTCGATTTCCAGACGATCTCCAACCTGAAAATAATATTTTTATGTGAACATAACATGTGTTACCTTGAGAAACATATTTCTCACTGGCATCGAACTGCAATCAACAACATGGGAAAATGCAAAAAGCACCAGTATTAGAGATGTTAACTTTAACATCTCAATACCTAGAATACTGACAGTTTTATCGTTTTCACACTGTTTTAATAGGAGACTGAATGCGGAACAAAAATTTAAAAAACGATTAAAAGTTGTCAAAAAGTTTAATCCCCAATGCAAACTGCATTTATTCACAGATTTGTCATTTTTTTTTGGGGTATTAGGACTAGACCTGTTAATACTGGTGGTCATTTAAAGGTGGGGGGACATGAAAAAAAAAATAATGTTCCCGAAATTCCGTCTGAATATGTCCCTCGAGGAGTTGAACTTGTGAGGGCGATGATTGAGGGTGCGGCGCCGCTACCGACTGAGCCACGCGGGCAAAGAGAAAGCGCACGCCCGATTGCATACATAAAGGCGAGGGCGACAGCTGTACGCAGAGTGACATTAAGCGTTGTACACCGTCACGGTAGAATGCATACTCTAGCTACAAAAAAAACTACAAAAAATCTCCTGTCCCCCCACCTTTAAAAGATTACTTTTAAAAACTGTGCGGTTACAAAAGATTGAAAACGAAATTGAAATTGAAGATTGAAACGGGTAGAACAACTCGGAGACATTTATGTTTTATGAATATTTATAGAAGCTAAATGAGATGTCAAAAACCTGTAAAAATCGTTGAAGGCTCGGCCCGGCCCGGAAGGCCCGGACAGGTTTTTTTTATTCGAAATTTCTCAAAAAAAAATTTTTTATAAATTTTTGAGAATTTTCAAACAATAATACTAGTTTTTGAGAAAAAAATGTTATTTTGCTTCAAAAATGCAATTTTTTCTTCGATCTCAACTTTGGAAAAATACAGGAAGAAAATTATTTTTCAAAAATTTGTTTAAACATTTACAAATTCAATATTTACAATTCAGCTTAAAATTAGATGATAAAAACAACTTTTTTCCAAAAAAAAAAACACTTTTTTGCCTAAAAATCGAAGCTGGCGCCAACTGGCCGGGCCTTCCGGGCCTCCCGGGCCGGGCCTTCCGGGCCGGGCCGGCCCTTGACAAATTTTTCCAACGCCCGGCCGGCCCGTTCTCACCCCCAGGCCGAAAAACTTTGTCTGAAAATTTGGGCCGATTTCGGTGCGCTGGGGATTTCGGCTTCCCCTTTGCTCCTCTACGCCCTCCGCGCCAGAGGAAAATATCGGTTGTGTGGTGTTGTGGTAAGAGGGTGTGTTATTAGGAGTGACTATGCTGGTTCGACCCCCACGGTGGTAAAATTTTTTTTGCATTTTTTGAAACTAATTTTCGATTCCAAGTTTGCCTTCCTAGGCACTATATGACACTTTTTGATTAATTTCAAAAGTTTTCAAAGAAAAAAAGATTTTATGAGAATTTGAGGAAAAAATAGATAATAGTCTTTTCGACCGGTTCTTACATCCTCGTATCGTTAAAAACGAAAAATTCAGTCTCTGAAAGTTGCTCAATTTTGCTCTTTTTGAGGTGGAGTACTGTCAAATCGATCACATACAAGATTCGAACCTATTTCTATAGGTTTCAGTTAAGTTCAAGCGATATTTCAGAAATTAGGAACTGTCAAAGTTCTAACAACAATCAGAATTTGGAGATTTTTTGAGCCCAAAGACAACATTGGGCTGAAAAAATTTGTCAGATTGCTATTTTTATCGTTTCTGAATAAATGGAACATTTTTTCGAACTTTTCAAAAAAAATTTCAAAAAAATCACTTTCGAAGTGTGACCCCATGATGATTTTTTTCAAAATTTTTCAAAAAAAATTTTTTTTGAAAATGTTTAAAAGTTACTTTAGAAAATAGAAAAATGTCCAAAAATGAGTTTCGCACTCGAGCAAATCCTGAAAAACTAATTTTTAACCTCGAAAAATGCATGTTTTTGGCCAAAATTTAGTACTAAAAGCACTTTCAGAGGCCATATTTCGGCTCCTTTGGGCTAAAAACGAGAACGGGCTAAAAATTTTTTTGGATTCGGATTCAGAATGTTCGAAAGTACCTTTGTACAAATTTTGAGCAAATTCTCAACCGTTGTCTGAAAAACCTTCCCTTGTTATCTTCGCTCTTCACTTTTTCTAAAGGGTCACGTCTATATTTATGGTTGAAAAGTTAGCAGAAAAATACATAATATGTTAAAAACTCCAAAAACGTAGTTGAGTCATTGAATTCAGTTTAAAAATTCACTTTTTCAAAATCAAACCAAGTTTCCGATATTTCCCTTCATCTCCGATTTTGTCAGAGTTAGCCATAGTCGTAAAATCTCTAAGAACTGATTAGATTTATGTACCATTTTAATCTCTGAAATCTTCAGTGAACTCTGTTTTTTTCATACATAAAATAAGTCATGCAAAAAGTCAACTGGTTTGGTGGGTGGTGATGTATTTTGGGTTTTGGAAAAAATCCTAAGTAGACCAAATGTATTACAGATAATGTAAATTTGCGCTGTAGAAGAGTTATCTGAAATAGTGAAATTTCGCAAAATATTGTTCTTTAAAAGCAGTGCTTGATTTTGCATGATCTTAAACAGAAACTTGTGAATTGTACAAAAGGAAAGAGAAAAACGAAACTAATATTTTTGAAAAACCTTGAAAGAATATTGGTATTTGTTTTGTTTATGTTGAATTCTCATCAGTCGGCAAGGCGACCGTGTAGCTTAGCCGAGAACGACGCAGAATCTCCAACATTTCACCCACAGGTTCAATTCCTCTGGGAACTTCTTTTGACAGAAATTCGATTCCATGTAACGCACCTCTGAAAAAAAAACACTGTTCCAACTATGTGATGAACTACAACTACTAAAACAACACTATTTCAACAATAAATGAACAAATCAACCTTCATCACTTGTCAGTAAAACCGAAAAGTTTTGCCAAGGTTTTTTTTTAATTGAGAGTATGCATTTTGGTGTGACGGTGTACAGTACCTGTATCGTACTGCATTCTGTCGGGTGCTGTGACCTTGTAGCTCCCTATCAGGTGGCACTTTCAACTTTCCAAGGAACCTGTATTCACAGAACAATCATTATTATCGTTTTGATTTCAGGTGCTCAAAATGATCTTTCGTTAATCATCTGTCCCTTATATACTCCAGATGTGACCTACCAAAGCTCAAATTCTCTATTTCTCCCAACTATCAATCAAAATATCAATTACATTCAACCTGATTAGAATGCAGGCTTCCAAAAACTGATCGCTTATTATTCTGACTCCCACGGAAAAAAAAATGATTTACATATTACTAACCAAATGTAATTTCCTTTGGAGAGAGACAGAGATATTTTCAAAAACCTCCTGTCGTTTTCTTCATAGAGTTATCTGATTATCACTTATTGTGCTCGTAAAATCAGAGAACTAGAATATCCATTGGGGAGTATTTATTATGCCTCGTAGCAAACTTGTTCCTTTTCTTCAACATCTAGATCCTTAGTTTTTAATTTAAAAACATAAAAACGAAATATAAATGTTTTGATATTTCTAAAATTGTAAAAATCTGTCTATTGATAAAGTGTTTGTTATAATAAGATCAAATATTTATCAGAGGACATACAACATAAGTATAAAGCCACCCCAAAATCTGGCTATAAATTTTTTAAAATCGCAATTTTTTGAAAATCTAGAACCAGAATCGTAATCAGTTCTTCCTCGTATTGTGTATTGTGCACAACAACCGTATCCAATTTCAATCAAAATATGAAACATCGAAATTTTCGGTGAGTTTTTTGTACAATTTATATTTTGAAAAATTTTTTGAACATTGTCCGTAAACACAATCACGCACAATTGCACTAAATCATTAGATTTTGATGAGTATTTTTGTCTGAGAACCTGTTCATTTTCATTAGAAGAAAAAATAAAAAATTGTATACAGGAGCTCTTCAATTAGAGGGAATTCTTCTATTAGATGGACCCTTTTAATACAGGTTTTACAGTAATTTAATCTCTTCTGGGACTTGAAAAAAATAATTTTGAATTGCGACGAATTGCGCACAACAACCAGAAATTAACTATAATAAAATCATGGAACGGTGATCTTGTGGGCTCATCGTTGCATTCTGATACTGTAACTCCTAAAAAAAAATCCGTAAAATCACCTGACCCCCCCCCCCCCATCTTCTCAATTTTTCAGTTTCAACCTTGTAATATTTAAATTAATGTTCCGAATTATTTATTAACTTTGTGATGTTTCGAGAACCCTTTCAATATAGTTTCAATACCAAAAAGTTCAAATTCTGAAATCGTTGAGTTCTTATAATATGTCTATCTGCTTCCATGACGTGATTCATGACTGGCTCTACAAAAAATTGAATTATGGTCTCTATTGTTTTGTATTTTGGAGATTTTGGAGGAAGCCGAATAGAGAATGAGCGAATGAGTGGGCATTAATATGCATGATTTTCTGAAGTTATTTCTTCGGTAATATATGGAAAAGTTTTCCTTTCTTCATTTTTGATATGTCCGAAATTTCCAAAATCAGTAGACAATCGAAGGCAAGGCTCTGAAGTCAAAATTTAACTCATTTCCGCTGTATTTTTCTGATATTTTAAAATGTAAATTATGGATTCAAATGGATCGCAGTTTTTACTTTTTTTTTCTAATTTTAATACATCCTTGGAAGAAGGGGAGATTAGGTTCAAAAATTGCTAGAAAACCTACAAAGTTCAGTTGGTAGCTGCCCTGCACTTTTAACACATTACCGACGAGTTTCACTTCTCTGGGGGCTTTTAAAGATCTTCCACAAACGTTTCCATTTTTAACTTACTTCCATTTCGTTCGCATTAAACAATCTTCAATGGTATGTGATTTGTGCCGATTCTGAAATGGGAAAAAATATGACAAAAAGTCCAAAAAAATAGTGGTAGATCTATCGTGAGAACAAAAATCAAACAAATCAGAACAACAGGAAAAAGTGACGCAAAATTGTAAGTAGGCGGAGCAAAGCTGTCGAATTGAGGATTGTGGCTTCATTTTAGAGACTTGGCATACCCTAGGAATATTTAGAACACTACGACCGATGACTACCAGATTAAATGTCAGTTTTTCCCCAAAGTTATATGAATTCTTTGAAATCGTAGTTTTTTCAGTCTTCTTCTTTTTTGTAGTTTTTGTATGTGTTAATCATTCTTCGATGTCAAATGAGTAACAAATAGTGATCACTGAAGCCTCCTCAAAGTTAACTTCCACATGACTGAACAGTTCAAACTTGTATTTTGCTAGTTTTTTGTTTGATTTTTGAGATGTCTAGAGTTCAAAAAGACTTAATTCTTTATTAAATAGATAATTTTTAATGTTTTCAATTTATTTGTAAGTGTAATAAAAGTTATATACTTTGATTTAAAAGTTGTTAAAATCCTATTTACAGGGTGCGGAAAAAGTACTTTTACAAAAAGTTTGACTCAAGCTAGCGCGCGCTGACTCACTTTTCATATCTTGATTTTTTGTTTATATTCTTCCCCATTTCTTCATTAGTAGATTTGCAAAGTTTCATATCCATATCTCAATTTCGACAAAGATGGCATTACTTTCTGTACACCTCATTTGATTTTTTCACTGTTTTTGGCAAATCTACACGGGCGAGAATGTGTACCAGGATTACTGTTTATGGTGATAATAATGTTGTCTAAGTCATGGTGTCATAAAGCTTGCCAAATTAGAGTACCCAAAAAGATGTAGAACCTGCTCGTGCCAAAATCAATTGTTCCAACCTGGTCCCCCAAAAAGGATGGCCCGTCTCTAGTCAGATCACAATCGAATGGGGATTTCCGTGCCGGGAACTTTTAAAGCACATGTTCATGTTTGTTTTCACAGAATTTTGGGTGCTCTCTGAAATAGCAGTTGTGCGGAATGGGACAATTTGCCAGCAGACTACTCTCGTGCCGCCATAGACGCTAACCGAAGAGGTTGAGCTTCACCATCAGTAACTGAGCTACCAGACACGAACAATTATGATCTGATTTTATCACAAATCTCTTTGATAAAGTCCTGTCAAATTTTGACTCGGATTGGACTTTTTTCCGAGAAGTTATGACGTCTTCTTTTTGTAACAGAACTTTTGCCGCACCCTGTAATTTCACTTTTAAACTAGATAGGTATTCAATTTTGCCTCATTTTTAGTTTTTCATTGAAATTGTTTTTTAATTCCACATTCAAATTTTTGAACTAACAATAAAGTCAGAATCCAATTTATGAAATTTCGTATAAATTTCGGTTTAAATAATTTTCCGTTTCACAGTTTCCATGAAAATTTTGAACTTTTTTAAAATCTCGTTCGTTTATTTCTTTATTTTTGTATTTATTAAACTTTTTTAACACTTTAATCAAAACCACTTTTATTCAAATTTTGAACCTAAAATCAAACTCAAATATTTAAACTTTCTTTGTATTTCAATTGGTTTGAACTCAAGTTATGTTACCACTAATTGATGATTCCGTTTCAAATTCTTCATGAATTTTTCAAACGTTTTGGTTTCTGATTTTCCTTTGATTTTTAGATAACTCTCTTCTGACAACGTATTTTGATCCCAGGATCACTTCTTTCTGAAAATGCCTTCTGACTAATTCTCATGTACTCATGTTTTCCCTTCATTCTATCTACCTTCCTAAATATCTTCTTTTCTTAGCAATCACACATCTATTCACTGTTTTCGAAAAGATTATCCAAATCCATGAAGAAAAATCTATATGAAAATGATTCAGGTACATTTTCATGGCTGATGTGTCGGTCATGTTTACCAGAACGGAGAATTTATGAGTTTTAGGATTTATGAAGTTGTCAAAAAAATGCAATTTTCAAGATATACTGTGCTTATCATCTTCTACGAGGGAGTTCTCTATTCATCAACTTTGTGAAATAGTGAAAGTCAGTTACCCCAGTATTCCTATCATTGCTAAGGAAGTAGTTTTCTATTCATGAACTTTGTGAAATAGTAAAAAAATTTTAATTTTAATAATAGCAAGAAACATGGAAAACAGACTCGCAATAAAACTGTTTGAAATGTCTAAACTTTGTCAGATTTTTGTTTCCCTTATTAAAGGTGGAGGGACATGAAAAAAATAATGTTCTCGAAATTCCGTTCAAAGATGCTCCTCGAGGAGTTAAACTTGGGAGGGCGATGATTGAGGGTGCGGCGCCGCTACCGACTGAGCCACGCGGGCAAAGAGAAAGCGCACGCCCGATTGCATACATAAAGGCGAGGACGACAGCTGTACGCAGAGTGACATTAACCGTTGTACACCGTGGCGGTAGAATGCATACTCTAGCTACAAAAAAACTACGAAAAATCTCCTGTCCCCCCACCTTTAAAGACCAAGGCGCTCGAATAGGGATTGATGAAAATTCTTCAAACTTATTTTGATTTTGAAAGAGTAAAAATTACAACCGAAATCCATAACAACTACTATTTTACATGTTTACAATCTATTAATTCATGTTTTTTTTTCTAAAATGTACATTTAGTGGTTGGAGTTTTTTGAAGTGGGAAGTTTTGCGTTACGATGTACATTTATCGGTGTTTCCACCTTTAACTTTCATGTACGGCTACCGTAACCCCTTCCATGTGCACGATCGTTTAACTAGCGTCGGCTGCGACCGTTAGCTGAGCCACACGGAATTTAATTAGAAACTGTTAGACTTTAATTAGAAACTAAATATACCCTTTAGTTATTAGCGACCCTCTGTTTTTCCCGTTATCATTTGTTCTTGGAAACGTCTTCTGCTCTTTCTTGTGTCATGTTACACAGCCGAAAAAATATTTTTGGAGTGTTTGAATTAGTTATAAACGAATCGTCTAATCTTCCAACATCCTACTAAAATGCTTAAACTGAAACATTTAAAATTTGCAGATAATCTTTCTCCTTGACTCGATACAGAAGAAACCTCACATCACAAGAGCGGGTTTCTATTAGAGAAGATACGGTATTTGACTCACAAGTTTAGCGTCTCGAGGGACATACGTATGGAATTTCGAGACTATTATTCATCTCAATTAGTCCCTTAGAGTTTTTATCCGTTTTGTCTAGTATATAACAAAACTCAATAGTACTTTTCCTATTTATTACCTACCCTGTTTTTTTCCCATTATTATTTGTTCTCAGAAACTTCTCCTGCTTTTTCGTAACATGTTTTCCTTCGTTTTCCTCACGTACACGACCGAGTATACTTGGGGAATTCGAACCATGCTGAATCGGTTCATTTTTCAACCTACTTGTAAAATAATCAAACTGAAATATTCGAAATTTATAGATGCCCACATTTGGATCCAATTCGAAAATAAAATGATTAAATGGAGTAATAATTTCTAAAATTTGTAAACATTATGAAACAGTGAAAGTTAAATCAACAGTGAACCTATTGAGATTTTCTGTTTCGATTTACTTTCTTCAAATGTTCTGTAAACTATTTTTTGATACTTCCTGGCATGCAAAACAGTTTTCTTTTTTTACTGTCTGTATTTAACCCCTACAACAGTATGTAGTTAAGAACTTTCGGATTACTCTGGAAATTTCAGATAATACTCAACAAAATTAAAGCTTCATTTTTGTAACTGACAACTTTTGCGCCTTATTCCATTCTGAAGAGATATCCTGTTTGTGACCCAAAGAAATCTGGAAATTCCTGAAACCGATGCTGGGTTTTGAATGTTTGTGTTTTTTGAAGTCTTGATTCCCTATCCTAGAACCAACCACAACACAATTATTGTACCCATCAGCTGATTCTTCTCTTTTTTCGTACCCATCCATTCCTTGGAGAATTTTCTCATTCCTCTTATTTTCCCTTCCCACAGAAAAAAATATACAGCCCTTACTTCGATTTTCGTGATTCTAGATACAGAATGCTTCTCCTACCCTCATCAATGTATAAACTTACCGTAATGAATATGACAACTGCTGCCATCGAACAAACCGATACGATATTCCGAGCCGCACTGATTTTAGAATGGATTCTTATCAGTATTGGATTCGGAGAGACCATGCTACTTTGGTATCTACTCAGGTACACCAGACAGTATCATCGGAATCTGGCCATGATTGTTGAGCAATTGCCAAATCAATACTTCCCATCGTTGATAGCGAGAATGTACATGATTTATAAACAGTTGACCATACCCAACACTGGTGAGTGAGTTGAGCGGTTACTGCCACGGTTGTGCCACGGTCGGCCGCGGCCAGCCGTCATTTTGGGGTACTCTAAATGCTTATACTTTGAGTTGAATTATCCCGGTTTCTATAAGAGATATCAGAAAGTTATTAACTGATAAAATGTTTGTGATGTTATGACAAACATTTTATCAGTTTACAGATTTTTGAAATCTTTCATAGAAGTTGAGATAATTGAGCTTGAAATAGAAGTAGTGAGTGCCATATCCTTTTGAGTTCTAGCAAAACAGTTACGGTAATGGTGAACCAAGAAGTTACTGTTTCAGTGTCTTCATAATTTGAATATCAGAATATGTTAAACAATTCAACCTTTCTTCTACTTATGTTGTTTTTTTTCAGCCGAGTTAATACAAGACGAATCGTTTTTATTTGCTGTTTGGCTCCGGAATTCTCTACTTTTCGTTGCATTCTACTTTGCGCCATTTCCAGTTATTGAGCGCTGTTTTGCAACGATTTATATGCAGGTTTGTGTGTGTGTTTTTTTTTTTTTTTTGAAATTGGACTGGAAATTATTTACCGTAGCTGGGTGTAGTTAACTTCGAAGACGAAAATTTCGGAAGTCTGTGATATTCAATAAGATGTGTAACTGACGTTTGAAAACCGGGCGCCAGTCATATTTTTTAAAAATTTGGTCCTAAAGCAATCAGTTGCAAAATAACCGCTTTTAAAATTTTCCCATACCTAATTACTATATACAGTGCGCGTCATAAGTATAGCGCCCCCTCGAAAAATGAATTTCCAGAGTTGGAGTATGAGATAGGAAAAATCTGTTTACACCATTTCAACCAGCGTCTAATAAAACCTAAGTCTGGAAGTTTTTGTTTCGATCGGTTGCGTTCGGTCTGATCTGTGAACAAAACATCGGAAATGCGCCGCGTCAAAAGTATAGCGTGTTTTACAAAATTGGTGATTTGGGGGTACAAAAATTCGGGGGTACAACGATTCGGGGGTAAAATCTACCAAAGATTCTGGGGTACATCTCATTTCATTTAGGGGTACAACGTTGTGATTCGGGGTAACAATTTTTTTGACGAAGTTTCTGAATTCCTGAATTTCAGAGCTTGAAAATATCAAAATTCGGAATCTGAGAATTTCGGAACTTCCGAGTCTGAGGATCTGAAAATTTCGGAACTTCAGAATCCGAGATACTGAGAATTTCAGAACTTCGAATTCTTAGAATTTTAGAGCTTTGGAATTCCAGAATTCGCAATCTGAGAATTCCGTAACTTCAGAATCTGAGAATGCTAAAACTTCAAAATCTCAGAACTTCGGAACTTTAAAAATTCAGGACTTCAGAATCTCAATACTTCAAGAAAGACAATGGAGAACTGTGAAATGATTTTAACAAATTTTACAAACGGATTTTAATACCAGTCGATACTTTCCTCACTTCTAATTTTTCTCAATTTTATTTCTTAATTCTTTTTCATTTCCTTTTGTTTTGGGGGGTACGACGAATTCGAACGTTTTCAAAATCGAACAGACCTAAAATCGAACTGATTCAATTCAGAACAGTCCTTTTTTCGCACACGTACCAGAACAGAACGGGGACAGGATCGAACTGTTACAAGTTCGAACTGGTAAGAAGTC